AGGCCAAGCCCTATGAGGAGAGACTAGAGAACCTGGACCTTTTCAGCCTCCGCAAGAGAAGGTTGAGAGGCGACCTTGCGGCTGCCTATAAGTTCATCACGGGGGCACAGAAGGGAATTGGTGAGGTTTTATTCACCAAGGCGCCCCCGGGGGTTACAAGAAATAATGGCCACAAGCTAGCAGAGAGCAGATTTAGACTGGACATTAGGAAGAACTTCTTCACAGTTCGAGTGGCCAAGGTCTGGAACGGGCTCCCAAGGGAGGTGGTGCTCTCCCCTACCCTGGGGGTCTTCAAGAGGAGGTTAGATAAGCATCTAGCTGGGGTCATCTAGACCCAGCTCTCTTTCCTGCCTGTGCAGGGGGTCGGACTCGATGATCTATTGAGGTCCCTTCCGACCCTAGAATCTATGAATCTATAACTCTCTTTTTAATAAAGTGTACATAGTTAGAATTAATAAAGTCTTTATAGTTGTACAGTTCTACTCCCTGCATGTAAATTACTAGGGAAAAGGAATAAGTTTAACACATTGCCAGCAATCCCTGGGGCTGCATCTTCACAGCCTTCAGCCAGACTGACAGTTTCTGAACGGTCCTTTCAAACATTTCCCATTAGTGTGACAATGTGGCACTCCATGTAGTGTGACAATGTGCCATTGTTTCCTCAACTTGAGAAAACTTTTCTTTCAGCAGCAGAATATGAGTTTTGACACTGGTCAAAACTCATGTGAAGCATGACTGAATTCTGCAAAAGGAACAACAAAAAGGCAGAAAAGTGTCAGGAAATAAAATACCCCTGCAAACACAAAACTGTTATTTAAATCGTCATATACTGTCCAAGTTATTCATCCATTTGGAGGACTTTCATTTTGCTCTGTACAGTCAAATATCAATCAGCATCATGACACTATCTTATACATTTCCACATTTCCACCCATTACTTAAGCAGAAAGCATAATAAAGAAGTCAGTCAACAAGGACAGCTTTGGAAGATACGCAGGCCAGCCAAATTATGTCTATATTTAACGAACATTCTAAATGCTTCTTATCTATATTCAAATTCACTTGTATATAGGACAATGGTAACTGCTCATCAACTCCTAAGCAAGTTATAGGAAAACTTTGCTCTTTATTCAGCAACTGTTTGAATTTAAGTATGTCAGTCACAGATAAATCCATTTGCCTCAGCCTCACCAGGATAAGTGAGAAACTCCATCCAAAAACTCTAGCCAATGGAGTTCCCTGGATCAAGTGCCTCAATACAGGAGCATGGAGCCAAACTACATGTACCAGACTGAATCCAGGATGGCGAAAATAGAAGGCAGACAAAGACAGGAAGAAAAGGAAGCCAAACTAGCCAAAAGATCACACAAACAGCTTTCTTTATGAAGGAAAATGTTGTCATCACATCAGTCTGGTGAGATTATAATGCTACACCAAAGATTGGAAACCTGGATTGTAAATGGTGAAGCACAAACTGTATGAATGTAGTATGATTGCAAAATGAGCAAAGAATAGGGCTGGCACTGCACTGTGAAATTCTACAAGGTACACAAAAAGAGAGAAGTTCAACTCAGCAGATCATGCAAGACTGAGCAGGAGCAAAAGCCCTAAATCTATTGGTAATAAGAGCCTAGTTCTGCAAGATTTAGGCAGACAACAGCGGCTAACCCCTATTAATGGGATTTGCTGGCCCAAATTAGGCTCCTGATACATAGATTCATAGATGCTAGGGTCGGAAGGGACCTCAATAGATCATCGAGTCCGACCCCCTGCATAGGCAGGAAAGTGCTGGGTCTAGATGACCCCCGCTAGATACTCATCTAACCTCCTCTTGAAGACTCCCAGGGTAGGGGAGAGCACCACCTCCCTTGGGAGCCCGTTCCAGACCCTGGCCACTCGAACTGTGAAGAAGTTCTTCCTAATGTCCAATCTAAATCTGCTCTCTGCTAGCTTGTGGCCATTATTTCTTGTACCCCCTGGGGGCGCCTTGGTGAATAACTACTCACCAATTCCCTTCTGTGCCCCCGTGATGAACTTATAGGCAGCCACACGGTCGCCTCTCAACCTTCTCTTGCGGAGGCTGAAAATGTCCAGTTTCTCTAGTCTCTCCTTGTAGGGCTTGGTCTGTAGGCCCTTAACCATACGAGTGGCCCTTCTCTGGACCCTCTCCAGGTTATCCGCATCCTTCTTGAAGTGCGGCGCCCAGAATTGCACGCAGTACTCTAACTGCGGTCTGACCAGTGCCCGATAGAGGGGAAGTATCACCTCCTTGGACCTATTCGTCATGCATCTGCTGATGCACGATAAAGTGCCATTGGCTTTTTTGATGGCTTCGTCACACTGCCGACTCATGTTCACCTTGGAGTCCACTAGGACTCCAAGATCCCTTTCCGCTTCCGTTCCACCCAGCAGGTCATTCCCTAGGCTGTAGGTGTGCTGGACATTTTTCCTCCCTAGGTGCAGCACTTTGCATTTCTCCTTGTTGAACTGCATTCTGTTGTTTTCTGCCCACTTGTCCAACCTGTCCAGGTCTGCTTGCAGCTGTTCCCTGCCCTCCGGTGTGTCCACATCTCCCCATAGCTTTGTGTCATCTGCAATCTTGGACAGAGTACACTTCACTCCCTCGTCCAAGTCACCGATGAAGACATTAAAGAGTATCGGTCCAAGGACCGAGCCCTGCGGGACCCCACTTCCCACACCCTTCCAGGTCGAAACCGACCCCTCCACCACGACTCTCTGGGTGCGGCCCTCCAGTCAATTCGCCACCCACCGGACTGTGTAGTCATCCACAGATACAGATCACAGGGATAGGTAGGTGAAACAGGATCCATAAAAGCCATGCTGAGCAGGGGCTAAGCCATCCTACAGGAAATTCTGAGGACAGGGACATGCATTAAACAACTCCCTTTCCAGGACTTAGATGCCTTACTCAGCTACTGAAAGGCACCTCCATTTGTTTGGAATTCACAGTTTGGAACTTGCTCCATAAGCGCCTGAGCACCTTCTGTCAGAAACAGCACAGCTGCTGTTCCTTTCCTTCAAAGGACAGGCAGGAGGCAGAGGTCAAGACAGCACCCTTTTTATTATGTAGTGTCTGTAGCTGCAGGAGAACATAGGCTTTTCTGGACAGCTCAGGCTGGTCCCTCCCACTCAGCAGCCAGCTTCCGAGACCTCTGCACCAGGGATGACTGCACCCCAGCTTCACCTCCAGGCACTTGCTTGCCATGTGACTCTTTAGCTGGACACATGGGATTCCAGGCTGCTCCTGGTCTCCAGGCTTATGGGAGGGGCCCCTGGTCCTTGGATGTGGACATGGAGATGTGTATAGTGGTGGCCAGGGGATGTGCAGTAGCCACGGGACATGTGGTGCTCCAGGCAGCTCCTGGTCTCTGAGCTGATGGGAGGGGGCCCTGTTCCTCCGACATAGACCTGCAGCTCGGCGCGGTGTCGGGCAGGGGTCCACATCATCCTGGGGGATCCCAGCACAAAGGCCCCAAGCGACTTCTCCATGAGCTCAGGCCAGCCCCAGGCACACGGCAGCTTCTTGGTCCCCATGTGGACCTCTAAGGCATATGGCCTGAGGAACGGGTTCTGCAGGGACTCGATGGGTGACCTGCCAGGCGCATCTGGACCAGAGGGAGCCTGGATGGCCCTAGGGGTGATGGACTCTAGGTGGAGTGTCAGTAGGCCCAGGAGTGAGCCCAGGCGCTGGCGCTGCACGGCCAGGTCAACACGGTCCAAACTGTCAGAGGGCACGAAAGGCAGGTGGCGGCTCCGGGGCTGGAGGGCACTGTCCCCTGCCTGAATCAGCTTGGGGAGGGGCAGCTGGGAGAGGTGCTGCAACCTCCTCCATGACCCTCTGGCCAAGGCTGGGAAGGTTTCCAGGTGGATCTCCATGCCCTTCTTGGCCGTGGCGCTCTGCAGCACTGCACGGACTCTGGGCTGTAGCTGGAGCTGTTGCAAAGCTGTGGCCCCCCCACTGCCAGCAACTCGTCCACACGGCCTCATGAGCACAGCCCCTGGGAGAGGTCCTGAGGGCTGTCCCTGCTCCGAGGTTGCAGGCAGCAGGGCTGGCATGGGTGCCAGGGCTGTTGGGGCAGATATGTGGCAGGCAGGGTTGTCACATACCAGCTGGCAGACTGAGAGATGCCTGGAGCTCTGGGCCCATTTCACCTCCTGCTTCTTGGCCCCTGGTGCAGAAAGGAAGTGGGTGAGCAGTGGGCAGGGGAAGTCCCACTGCCCCCTGCGAGCCCACTCAGGCCACCCGCACAGGACCCCACCCCCCGCCCCTGGCTGCTGTGACCTGGGCAAGACCTGCTGCAGAACTGGTGAGCTGCGTGGAGTCCAGAGGCAGGGCCGGAGTAACCACTTAGCGGGCCCTAGGCAAACAAACTCATGGGCCCCTACTTAATACTGCATATTAATATTACTTTTTTCACTCAATAATTATAATATATAAACTAAGCACAACTGGGCCCATTCTTCACTTAGGGCCCTAGGCAAATGTCTAGTTTGTCTATGCATTAATCCAGCCCTGCCCTGGGGAAAGGAACATCTTGGGTGAGGTTAGCACTTTGCTGATGCAGGAAGAGGGAGTGGGTCTTCAGGGAGCACTCCCCCCGCCCCACAACCCTACCTCTATGCGAGAGACACTGCATAGAGCTAGGGCCTCCTTGCACCCTTGCTGGGGCTAGATGGTAGGAGCCCAGAAGGAGGAAGAATGGGGGGTGCAGGTAGAAATGGATAGGGGGGATTAAAGCATGGGCCAAATGGTCCCAGCAGGCCGCTTCCTGCTGGGGGTAGTTGGGGAGGGCTGAGGGCTCTTTTCCCCCAGGACAAAGGCCCAGGTCAGGGGCTGGCCAACCAAAGCTACCACCCCTACGGTTCCTCAGCCCTGTGGCTTTGAGCCCCTTTCTCCAGTGAATCCCTTCTCACCCTTCCCCATCCCAGAGGGAAGGCAAAGTGTAGATTTGCCCCCCAGGTGCTCTCAGGGCCTGGGAGCTTAGAGCCCCCCATGGGCTAGAGCCTGCTTGGCAATAGGGCCTGGGTCCTGCGGGCACCTGCAGAGTGGCTGCCCCTCTTGATTCCCTTGGGCTGACCCTTGGCTCCCTAGCACAGGGGCTGCTGGGGCATGAAGGTAGCAGATCCCACCAGAGCTGATAAGTGCCTGGGCAGATCATGTGTGCTCTCTGCACCCCTGTGCTAGCAGTGAGCTTACAGCTAGCCTGCTAGGGCATGTCACAGCCCTGCACCCAGGCAGGCATAGCTGCCAGAAACAAGCATCACCTTTTCCTTCTCTCTCTGCCAACAGCCACCTCCACAGATGGACCTGAAACAGAGCAAGAGCAGCATGACAGAACCTGGGCAGGATCCTGCTCCAACAAAAAGTGCCAGGCCCCCTATGCCCTCCTCCTGTCCCAGCCCCTGCCCTGCTGCCTCCCTGAGCACATCAGAGCCAGAGAAAGCTCAGCCCGGAGCAGCAGCCTGAGGCCCACAGCTCCTCCCCCTCCCCCAGGCCTTGCATGACAATGCCTGGCTGGGCCTCAATTCTCTGGGGCCTTGTGTCCCAGCTCCGCACCCCACATGCAGACAAGCTCCAGGTGCTCCACCTTTCCACAACCCATGCAGAGCAATTAGGGCTTCCCCTGCAGCCTGGGCCTAGTCCAGGTCAAGCAGGAGGCAGTGCAGCCCCCAGCTTCCCTTCCCAGGAACCAGACGCCAGGACCTGCTGTTATTTCTATTCCTTCCTTCTACATGCTCCCCTCCCCTGGGACTCCAGGAGGCTGGCAACACAACACAAACAGCAGCAGCAGGCTCCAGGCAACACTCCAGCCTTTCATCCTGGGACGAGCTAAGCCTTCAGCCTGCCTCAGCTCTACCCCCAGCACCTCTAAGCATAGGACCCTGGCTTCCCATAGCACCCTCACTCCCACTGCCTAGCTGCCTGCTGGGGAGCCCCTTCCACCAAACCCCCTTCCCACCACCTGTAGGCAGGGGCACTGCTCCTGCTTTGCAGCTCTTCTATGCTCTGGTCAGCAGCCTCCCGCACTCCCCAAGCCCCTTTCCCCAGTGTTGTGTATGTGAATTCCCCTTCTGTTGCTTGCCCTTGCTCTCTGCACATCATCACAGCCTCTGACAAAGGCATCTCTTGCCTAGAAAAACCGTGGTCTCCCTGAACCAGTTAGGCTCTAAGGGGCCACCCTACCCTGTGGAGAGAAAGAAGCCCCGTTCTGGCGCTGCGCTCGCTTCTTCCCCATGTTAGGGGAGGGGCACTCCGTGCCTGAAAGCTCCTCTGACACCGCTCCTGGTTGGTCCCATGAAGGACACCACCCCAAAACTCTTTGCTTTTCCTGCCTTCGGGACAACCCCTGCCCTAAAGCCCAACCTGCCTCAGGAGAAGAGGCAGGTCTCTTCTTGCTCCCAGCTCATCTTAAACCCAAGACATCACCCACTGGAGCCAGCTGTTCCCCCTGCCCCTCACTGCCACAGAACTGAGACCAGTCTGGATTTTTCTCCCCTGCCCAACTGGGGCAGTGAGCCTTAGGCTGCCTCTGTCCCCAAAATGCCTTATTCACCCCCATGCCAGGCTGCACAGTCCCTGCCACAGGATGGCCCTCACCCCGAGGCTGTGCAGGAGGATGACGCTGGCGCACAACAGGAAGCCATCCACCCACAACAGCAAGAAGCTCTTGAGCATCTGTGCTGCAGTAAGTGCCATGGCAGGCAGCCAGGTACCAGGTACATGGGCGAGCACGGGAAGGGATGGGATCAGGTTCTCTGCACTCTGCACGCAACAGGACACTGACCACTGGTGATGTCACAGAGCCGTAGAACCTGCGTCAGAGCTGTGGAACCGGCCAGGGGAGGGGGACATGTGCATGGCGCCAGTGGGGAAGTGCCATCCAGGCCGGACCCAGACACCAGGACTTTGGGGCAGCTAACACCAGGGCTGAGCTTGGCTCTCCACCTGGCTGAGGGAAGCAGAGGAGGGGGCCATGGAGCAGACAGAGGCCAATTGTGGGGGCAGGTGCGGGGGGATTAACCTCTGCCATGCCATTTATCGGCAGGGCAGGGAATGCGAGGGGCTGAGCTGCACGAGCAGGAGTCCGAGATACTTGGGTTCCATCCTGTAATGGGGCCCCAAGCCCATCGCTGAAGGAGAAAGGGAGCAGCTGCCTGGCTCCAGCCCCCTGAAGGAACTGATAGTGGCAGAGGGCCCCTTAATAAAATGGCTGCACCCCAGGTGCTAAACCCTTCAAGGAGGGGGGCGGGGAGCACTGCTATCCGCTGAAGGACGGCAGCACCAGACAGAAAAGCCTGAGGGCAACAAACCCAGCGCCCATGAGGGGCAAGACCCAGGCTAGGGCAGGGGAGTGGACCTCAGGTGGAGGGGTCCAGCCAGGGTGAAATGGACGGGCCTGCTAACCCTAACCCTAACCCGCAGCCCGGCTCTCCGGCCCCAGTCCTGGCACCAGGCACCTGAGCCCCGTCCCTAACGGCTGCTCGCTCGAGTTGGGCGGCAGTGCTCGCCCCGGTGCGGCGGCGGCGGGCGG